TTTTACCACCTTATCCTATCCTAATCCATCAGACATTCCCAATCAATAATTGCAAAAAAGATATTTGTAACCATACACTTTTATTAACGACTTTAAACGCTCATCTACTTTTTTGACTCTTAACACAACTTTTCCCAGAAACTATAACTTGTATACGCTTACGTAATCCATTCAAGAAACCCATCAAAAAAATATTAACGCCACTCTTGTTCGTAATGAAAAAGAAACACATATTGTTAGTGTCAACAATTTAGCACAGACAGCGCAGAAAGCAAGTGGACTCCTAAGGAGGACCATCATCAATTTTATTTATAAACTTATTTATGCGTTGTTTCTGATTCTTTATTGATTCTCGTAAGACGCGTAGATCGAGCAGTTGATTAATTTAATTAATCAAATACACATTAGCGGCACGAACCAACCCGGATCGAATCAAATCTCTCCGGCAATCATTATAAAAACACAAAGGAGAAGTGTAGAGGAAGCTAATTCGTTCAATGAACTTGCAGCACAAAAACAAATCTAATCGAATTGAATCTAGCTAATTATTATGCTAATTATCGAACGACTGGATTGCGAACTTGTTGCACATTCTAGACGCTGCTACGACCATCGAAAGTTGGCTTAGAAAGTTGCCAATAAAAACCATTGGCCAATGACCCAAAAACAGGCAAGGAAAAGAGAAGAAAATCCGTACTGGCAGGGGAAAAACCAGATCTTCTTACTTCTTCTTTTTTTTATTTTTCCCTGACATTTACAGCTTGAACAAAAATTGCAGCAGCATCAGCAAAAGAACAGGGCAGTGGAAAAAGCTGCAGACAGACACATGGAGATAATGTCTTTGCATGTTTTGTGCCATTGCAAATCTCGGCGGAGCCGAAAAAAGAAGTAGACTCCAACCAGGAAGCCACATCCAGAAGGCCCAGATGTTCGGGCTTGGAGTTCCCAACCAGTTGAAAGCTGAGAGAGAAGGGGTGAAAGGGGGGCAATTTGCGGCGGTATCTTTTGGCCACTCAAGTGTGTGTTTGCATCGTTGTTTTAGGCCAGTTTACATAGCACAACTTTTGAGATATTGAAGCTGCACGATGGAAAAACTGGGAATGAAAAGCCTCACGATGCGAGCTAACGAATTCGAGATACTTCAACTTGATAGTCAAATAAAAGCTTAAGAAAATTAATGTTCAAAAAGAATTTCTGGCAAAAAGCAATAAGGTAGGACATTTTTGATAGATTTGCTAACTTGTTATTTAAAGACACTTACTATAGATCTTTATTATAATAATTTAACAAAATCTTTTTTGAAATGCTTTATTACTGTGGCACAAAAAGGAATTACCCTTCTAGAACTAACAAAAATGAATGGTCTTGCCACTTTATTTGAGTTAGTGTATCATCAAAGAAATCCCAGCGAATCGCTTCAATTTATTGCCATCGATTGTAATTATTCAAATGGCTGTGGCAAAAGTTTTTGCTCCATTTTTCTTTCTGTTTCTCTCCCTCTCCTTTTATAGCCATTTCCATTTTTCAAGTTCTTATTCTTGCTGTAGCAAGTTTTTCCAGTTCAGTTGGAAAACTATGCAAATTGTTTTCGGAACTTTGCGGGAAATGAGATGGATGGCAAATTGCTTGGTGTAATAGCCACAGTTACACTGCACAGTTAAATATGCACTGTGGTAGGTCTCGATTTAATGGGGAAACCAGAATGAATATAAACAGATTTCGTTGATCATTAAGTTTATCATTTTTCAATGTACAAAATAAAGGTGTTAATTTGGTATTAAGTAATAGTATACCAACGGGTGAAATTCAGATAATATTATGATTTGACAATACTTTTAATAAAATGTAATATTATTAAAAATATTAATTAAATCAGAGCATTCAATTTCTTTATAGAGCTGAATCGCCAGTTTACCTGAAATACTTTCCATATTTAATTGGCCCATGACGAATAGAGAATTGTGAGGAAATCTATAGAAATAATAGAATGAGTATGGCTCTCTCAACAAACAAATCGCCGGATATGATACATGAGGTGAAAAGAGGAACGGGGCGGAGTCAGCACCCCGAAAGTGACATCATCATAATTTCATGATTCCTAGAATGGTCAACGCCAATCGACACAAATGCTATTAAATGTGAATGAAAAGGTAAGCGGAAAAGGGAATGAAAAATGTAGAAAGGTAGGCAGTAAAACGAAATAAAGACGGTGGATCACGGTGGACATTGACCCAAGTGGAAAACTGAGACCCACTGATGATGGTAGTTGAAATAATGGTAATGCAAATGCTCGCATAAACAACAATTAAACTTAAACGCAAAGTGCGTAACAGTAGAGAAAGAGACGGCAAGCGGTAACAATGGTCGCAGGCAAGACATTGACCCAGGCTTTGAGCCGAGACACAAACCATTGGCATATGGGAAGCAAAAACAACATCGCTCATCAGCATACTGAAAACACACACACAAACTTGTTGCTGCCGTAATCCCAGCATGTTGATAAGCTCGGCTCAAAGTTAAGGCCAAGGTCAGGTTGGCAACATGTTGCCAAGCTCATTTTGTTGCATTTATAAAAGGGCACAAACTACTTACATTACATTTAAAACAAGTAAAAAAAAAAAGAAAAAATATTAAAATAAGACATTATTTTATTTGAGTTTTGGTTTAAAACTAAGTATCCATACATTTTAATTTTAATTTTCCATAGTTTTGTATAAGCAAGAAAAAAGCAAGAAGCCTTAGCAATGAAAACCAGTTGGCCTGATCTACATCTTTTTTCATACTCCATTGGCAGCCTGCTGCCAAGTTACTAGTAAATCTAGCTTCCCCGGCGCGAAAAGATACGCTAAGGTCAAGACTTGCACTTCGTGATGTTGCTGGTAGCATTTACAACAATGGCTCTGGCCACACATACGTGTTAATGGCTTTGGGGAAAAAATACAACACACCAACGAATGCCGGAAAACTTTGGCTAAGACCAAAAAGCACTTAAAAAAGGTCAGCCAAAAGTCGCAGCACACACACTCTTTCCTAGCAACTATAGAATGTGATGAAGCTGGAAATCAGTAGTCCCCCATCCCAAAACATTTAACTTGCTGCTCCTTGGGCAGAAATAATGGAACTTCACCGCCCACTTTGTCAGATTTTTCGACGCCCCCAATTTCCTACGTTTTGCCCCACCTCCATTTCTATTGCTCTCTTCAAACTAATAATCATGACTTGTTAATTTTGTAAGCTGAGCCAGTATTTTCGCCTATAACACTGACCATTAGGTATCAGAATTCACGAACTAAACTTATGTTTAGATACAAAAAAGTATTAAAAGAAAAATATAAAATAAAATAAATCCTGTATGCTCTTAAATCCCTATAAATTAATTGCTTTATTGTATTAAATTAATAAAGTTTTTTTCTATTAAGGGCATCTAATGTTCGTCATAACGAAAAATTCCATTTTATCCACTACTTCTTTTTCACATCATAATTTTGTACATGTTCTAAGCTGCTTGGATTTAACGGTGAATGATTGTTGTTTTTGTGGCTGGGTGTTAGGTTCTTATTACTGACGGATGCTGTAGTTATTTTTCCTTTACTGTGGCTGCCTTTTTCACGCATTATCGTCATTATCATCATCATTGCGAGAAATGATTACCCGAACGCCGCCAACTATTATGGATGATGTAAGTGCAAAAAGCCATTGAACGCTTATTATTTTTTTACCTCTCCTTTCAACCAGTTTTTTTTCCTAACTTTACTTAACCAATAAATGCGGAGCAATAAACTTTGAGCAGACTCTGGCTAGACAAAACCTGGAGAACCTTTCACTTTGGCTTGGCTTTCGATCTTAAATGTTAAATTCAGCTAAGCAGCTTAAGACCATTTCGCTGCGAAAAGTTTGTGGTTATCCTTGAACGAAAACACTTTCATTGACTCCTCGTTTTGGCTGCCAAAATGCAGTCGTGGGTGTGGGTAAACCAGCCAAACAGAAGAAAAGGACACATAATTTTCCACTCCCCGCATTTCCACCACTTTTCATCTGCAGTTAGTGGCTTGGAAGTTACTTGGCTGCATTTTCTGTTTAGCTGCGTTTAGCTTACCAAGTATTTTTGGCACTTAACCAAGGTTAAGTAAGACTTTCCCCCACCAAGTCACAGAAAACAAAACTCAAACTCAATCCGCCAAGAAGAAGTGATAAAGAGGACATAAAAGAGGAGCGCGTGGGTTGCTTAAGATTCAATTCAAGGACTTCTGACAAAAGTCGTTAAAGTGGCGGAAAACTATCTTGCGAGATTATAAAAGTGAACCTTAAAAAATGTTGCGATGTACTTTAAACTTTAGAGGATTACTATTTATGCTATGGGGAAAACTAGGACGCAGCTGTTACTTTATATGAAGAATACTGTTCACTCTTTAGCTTGATGAGTTGCCTAGACCCTTGTTAGCTTTTCAAGTTCTTCTTTTGGGTTGCACTTTTCCGGCTTCACAAATAGCCAGTTGCAAAGAAAGAGACGGAATGAGTCGGACAAAAAGAGACGGAATGAGTCAGACCAAAAGAGACGGGAAGATGGGAGCTCGACATAAAGTCAGCATGCAAAGTGTGAGCAAAAGCAAACAGTTGAAATTGAAAACGTTACGCATGCGCCGCTTTTCCAACCAAACTAGACCGGGGCTTTCCATGGAAATCCGCATATGCTATGTTGTTGTATTGCTGCGCTGTTTCTGTCGCTCGACTTTCAAACCTATCGAATATCAAAGAGAGGCAAGAAAGATATCGAAGGAAGTCAGAGGGAGTCAGCACCACGAATTGGAAGCTGCGCCAGTGCCAGCAAATGAAAATCGCAATTGGAAACGTGAGGTTGAGATGCAGTTCCATCACTCCCCATCACTCGCCCCTCCTCACCACCGACCCACCCACCCATCAAAATCCACATCCACGCATCTTTTCCGTTCAGTGAGCATCTCACCCGAGGAAGCCGATGAAATTGAATCTGCTCCGGCTGCAAGGCAATAAAAGTGGGCGACTGACCAGAGAGATGCGTCACAAGTCGGTCGACAGCCAGCGCACACATAAGTGATGGAGCCATGGATCTGGATATCCTGAATCAGCACTCGTCCACCTTTCTCTGGATCGCCATCTGGGGCACATGGAGCCTGCTGGCATCGAACTTCGGGGCTTGTCAGGCGGTTCCGGGCGGAAGCAGCGGGGAGCGGTAAGAATTTATTGGAATACCTAATTTTTCCCGAATTTTTGACATGCAAACTGAGTTGTAGGATTCAAAACCCAATTAAGGAATATAGGGAATGAATAAATCAATCAGTAAATTTTAACATATACGTCAAAATTGTCATTTTTTAGCGTCCATATACGACTTCACATGCCGGATGTGGTGCGTCAGCACACGCATTTCCACAACGTGTACAAGTTACCCCGGAAAATCCACCCAGTTCCTATACCGCCACCCACGACGATCGCCACGATGCATCCGAAATTCCCGGGAAAACCTCATGTTCAACTTTTGGGTTATACAACGGCAGTGGGAAGTTCCGGACCAATGGCTTCCAATCTGATGCAGCTGATGGGGACGGCAGCCACGCCCACTCTCATGCCAGCCGCCCCCAACATGGCGCCCAACTATGGACCAGCCTTATTCGATAACTACAATCAGGAGTCGGCTTTGAGTGCAACGACTACCACAACGACAATGAGACCTCAGATTTTAAACACCTCGAAGCAGCAACAGTTGTTGCAACAAATCTTCACACCTCAAAAACCTGAAGATGAGGATAATTCTGTAGAGGATAATCAATTGGAGAATAACTCTTTACTAAACAACAATTTCCTTGAGGCTCTGCAAAAAGAATATCTTTCCAAGTTCGGTGGACGTCGTAAACGCAAGAAATCTGGTTCAAAATTTAAAAATTCAAACAAGAAATATTCCACTTACTTTAAGAGTAACCCGGTTTATTATCAAGATGAGGACTTGTCGGAGAACTTTGAAGACTACCAGGAGGAACAGCCTCACAATGAGGATTACGAGGAAGTAATGGTGATGAGTTCGCCCAACAAATATGGAGGCTATTATCCTTCAGGATCGGAGGAAATGGATCAGGATCATGTCCACGGCTATGACAGTGCTGTGGCTTTCAGCGGCCAGGATAATAGTATTTCATCATCCATACCAACAATGGAGGATTTTCTCGATGGGGCAAATAACCCAGTGTCTGCGTATGGTGGTGGAGGAAACTACGATCCTTACAGCAACTCGAACGACATGTTTTCCCAAGCCTGGCAGCCCTCTTCAAACAGCGCCTCAATAAGCAGCAGTTGGTCGAAACCCACCGCCAATTCCTATAATAATTCCTCAAAGAAACCAAAATTGAGACCTGTTAGATCCAGAGGTCGAACTAAAATTCGATATGTCAAGTTGATCACGCGAAAGAAACGCAAAAACCACATTCGAACCAAGAGATATCGACCATAGTCTAAACTTTCACCTGTTTCTAGTTACTTTCTAGTTACTCTTTTGCAGTTTTTGTAAATTAAAATGTTAATTATTTATAATGAAATCTGAAAATTCGGCGTACAGTCTTTTAAATATACGAAATAAAAAAAATCTATGCTTTCCTGCTCTTTAATAATTTAAAACTATTTATGTCTCACCCATTTGAATTGAATATTCTTAAGTTTCATGTAGTGCTTCGTAAGCCCTTACCTGTAATGAAAGAGAATAAAAGGACATTTAATAAAATACAAAATTAATATATATATCTAGCACATATTTTTGTATGTAGGCTCTTTTCAGAGGCTTCTTTGGTTCACGTTCTGCGGGTTTTCTGACTAAAACAAACTCATTAGATGCGCACACAAGTCGAAACAGAAACGGACCAAGGGGCAAAGGTATAATGAATGAAAGTGGAGAAACTACCCCGTAAACAAAAACCAGAAGCCGATTCAGCATCCGCCTCCATTTTCGTACCCGAAGTCGAAGCAAATAACGTATACAATTAAATGGGAATAAGGGGATTCGAGCTGACCAAATAATAAGTACAAATGCTAATAAAATTCAATTAAAGGCCACAAAATTACAATAAAAGTGGGCCCCAAAAAGGAAACTAACTCTGCCTCTGGACATAGTCGAAAAAGGCAAAGGGGAATGGGTATAGGCCATGAAAAGTCAAAATTAACGACTCATTTTGCCAAATTGAAGTCATAAACTAGAAAAGGGGAGAGTCAGGGGTTATCTTCTTAGTCATCGGAGGATAAGATAAAATCTAAGCAAAGATTGAAGCGAATATTTTATACTCATTACTAAAAACAATACAATTACGCAAAGATTTGTATCATTAGTTGTTTTAAACATTTAAATTAAATTGTAAGCTAAAATCAGGGGTTATCTTCTTAGTCATCGGAGAATAAGATAAAATCTAAACAAAGATTGAAGCGAATATTTTATACTCATTAGTGAAAACAAAACAATTACACAAAGATTTTTACGATTTTTTTTTTTAAACATTTAAATTAAATTTACGCTAAAATCCTTATTCAATAACTATTTCTTTCAAAACTTTAATTAAAATATTACCCTGATATTTTATTATATAATACATTCTATATGGAACAAATCCAAGTGAGTGACAGAAGCGTCTAGAGAAGGGATGATATGTGGGTGTGACGAAGGATGAACGCCAAAGTCTTTGTTTATTTGTCTCCGCCCTTCCAGCTCTTTCACATTCTTAATTTTCTGCTGGTCATATTTTTATTTCATTTGGGCTGTAAAATGGCGAGATGCAGATAGAATGAGTGAAAGTTTGATGTAAAAACATTTTCTGCATACTTTGGGGAGTAACGAAATTAAAAGCGTGTAAAGATTTTCATTTGCTTCCCCCATACCAGTACTGAGATAGAGGGGGATGAAGGGTATGAAGGGAATAAGGGCAAGGATTTCTGCAGGACATTTTTGGGGGCCAGCGAAGCACATAAAGTGTTGATGTGCCAACCATATGACATTTATTGTTTAGCCGAGACGACAGCGAATGTCTTCCAGTGCTTTTTTGGGGTCTGTGGAATTTGTGGATAGAATGTGAGTGAATGGGGAGTGAAGATGAAGCGCCATGTTTATTACCCCCAACAGATGGCATTGAAAGAGGGGAAGGGGCGTGGCAACAAGTGGGGCAGTTTTCCCCCGTTTTCCCCATTTTCCCTCCTCTTCTCCGAGAGATTTATGGGGCGTGGGTCATGGGCTGATGTCATAATATATAAATGTATTTGCGATTAAAGTCATTCGCGTTGAGCCTGCGTAATGATCAAGGCTTTGTTATATGACCAAGAATAAATCGTTGACAAAGGTCATGCGGAAAACATGGCAGAAAAATAACGTAACCGCATTTTTAAAGGCAAAAATTGTATGAAACATGTATTTTAAAGAAAAAGTGACAATATGTTTTAAACTTATTTTTTTCCTATATTATTTAAAATTAAATTACTTATATTTAATAATAATATTTGGAGTAAAACCTTTTGGCTTAAATCTGTCGATTTAATAAAATTTGAAACCAATATTTTTCCTTACAAATTGCCTTCACTTGGATCACCCCTAAAAAAACACACTTTTACGATGATTTTTTGCAAACACTTTTATTTGCCATTGGCGTAATTGATTTTCTCGAAATAATGGATAACAGAGCCGTCAGAATGACCAATATTCTACAATATCCGACCCGTCTGCCCGAAATGACAACTTTATCTGCCCACAAATACACAGAATAAAAGAAAATTTTTCATTTCCTTTTTGGTTTTACTGAATGCGACATAAAAACGGCACCAAAGCGAAAAGTGGGAGTAAAATGTTTACATCTGGCCTCCTCCTTGTCAACCCAATTTAACACTGAAATCAACATTAACTTTATAAGTCTAATAAAAGTTGAATATTTCCCTCGTAATATAATAATCGCTTGCAAGGAAAAATTAATTTTTCCATTCAGCTGCGAAAACAATTTGGGAAGTGGTAAAAGTAAACACACATCCACATCATTAGTAGAAAACGCCAAAGAAAATCATATGTCACGCAGTGAAAAAGAACTCTTCTGGCTTGGGTAATTTTGGGACAAATGACTAGAAATCTTCTCTCCAAACAATTCATTAATTTAATTAATTTGTGGCAATTAAATATGGTTGCACAAGCGACAGCAGGAGGGTGAAATTCTGCCCAGTCATCACCCACTCAATGGGATAGTTAATTGTTAGATATAAGCAAAGCCAAGCATATCGCCATATATATATATTCCACTCGCATGTTCATCAATTCCCCGGAGAATCTATGGGGCGAGTTTTAGCACTTTTCCCCATTTGCTGGGTGTGTCCTAGGGACCGGGAAACCCGCAGGACCTGGCTAAAATGGGTTAAGTGCTGGCGATAAACACACTCGCAGTGCAATGCGAAAAAGGGAAGGAAGCGAGCAGTCAACACCCACTAAAGCGAACCGTATGGCACAAAAAAATGTATTGTCATGCAACACCCAGTTCTTTTTCTTGAAGGTCAAGGGGATGCTCAAGATAAATGTGGGGTATAATTCAAAACAAAATATAGTTTTAAACTTATTCCTTTAAAATAAAATTATTAAGGGAATTTCATAATTTTCTAAATCAGCTAAGAGGTTTTAGACATTTATCTTATTATCTATGCAAATAAATTGTCAATAAGGATAATCGTTAACTTTTCCAGTGACTGCAAAACTTTTAAGCTTTCGTTCAATTCCTTTAAAGTGCATTCAAATGACATCACCTTTTCTTCTGGTTGTGCGTGTTGGGAAATATAACTATCACTCAAACTGACTTAATTTGCATTAAAGTCGAACGCCTCGCTGCCGACTTTTCCACCAGCAGATGCAATCCATGTAATCATCCGACAAACCGCTGGACAATCATGCAATTTAATTAAAATGAAAAGTTCTCCCCAACGGGAAAATGGGGAGTGGGGAAAATGAAATACTCGAGGGCATTACGACAAATGTATTACAAAATGCTAATTAAATGGCAGAGAAAATTGGGCCAAGCCTCTCCTCGTAATGGAAACTAAGCTAATCACACCCCAAAGGGGAAAACGGTGGCGAGTGGGGTCGATTCCATTGGGGATTGTGCATTGTAAAAATAAAAATTACAAATTCCTTTCGCTTATTTGTGACAATTAAGTGCAAATTACACATTCTGTGTCACACTTATAAGCACAAAAACACAACTGCACGCACTGTCAGTCTACATTAGTCAACAAGGGATCTGTTTGAAAAAGCAATTGAAATGTTTATTGAGCAAACAAAAAACACTTTAGCTTATTTAATAAAGAAAACTTATTTTTAATTTAAATAAGTTTTTTATACATTTATAAAAACATATTTAAATCATTTTTATTCCTCGATTAAAGTTTTGTTCATAGTTTTAATAATTGTAATTTTTTTAATTTGTTTTTCGGGATGAAATCTGTTTAGCTAACGAAAGAGCTGCATTCTTTGGAGGAAGCAATAAAGTTGACATTCTGATGATAACAATTAAAACAAATGAGTGTCGCCGCTGTGGTTTCATCACCAGGAACCTCAAAACAGATGGAGAACTGCGGCATACCCACATGATGATAATGACGAGGATGCTGGGGCAACGACTGCTTGTCCGGAAAAATACAAATAAAATGTGTGTGCGTGTTTGATGCAGTGACAGTTGCAACAACAGTTTGCTGATTATGATTATCGCTCACAGAACCCTCATATGAAGTACTCCCCATCCCCCCTTATAAGCCAAAGATCCCTTATGGTCCATCATATCTGGGCATGGTTTTCACTCGGTCCGGACAGTTGTGATTACAACTTTACTGTTTATGTTTTGCAATTGTGTCGCTCCACATTCGTATGTAGAATGAGTTTCTGTCGGTTTTTGACAGTTATGATGGAGGATTGCTTGTGCGGCCAGAGGGCAAGGCACTTTAAATGTGACACACACAAAAACAGTTGCAATCTCTAAAATTGAAATGCACTCAGGCGAAACCGACAAACACAAAAGAATGTGAAATGATATTAAAGTCTGTAAAGTAGCCAAATGTTCGGCAAAAACTGAGAATATTTTACAACTTAAATGAAAAATATTTAAAATAAAACTACAAATTCAATATATATGAATCTCTTTGACATTACCTTCGCTGTAGCTTACCAAATTTCAATAAGCCAAAACGAAAACCAATGTCAGACCTGTCACTCTTTAATCTTATAAATATATCTCTTTTTCCTTTATCAGAAAACAGGCGATACATTGTTCGCCAGCATTGTCAATGCATTCTCAACATATCATACAAGTTGACAACTATTGACCCCCGACATTTCCAATAGCACACAGAACCAACTGAGGCCCCATTTCCAAGAACCTTGAAGTATTGTTTACGCAAAACCAAAAGAGAGGAGAGCTGGCACGTTGGGGTTAAAGTTTTCGTACAAGAAAAATAGTGTAAAAATCAACTGAAAACAACTGCTG